GTCCTTGGGGTTTGCCCGTCCCTGCTGGCGAATGGAAGGAGCGTGGGTTTCGTTCCAGCTCCTCACCGAACGTTCTCCTGCAAGAGCTGGTGGGATTAAGTCCGGGCACAGAGCTGTGCAGAGAGCCCAGCTTGCAGCTCAGGCTGAAAACTGCACCCTGACCAGCAGCCTCCCCCCGCCTCAAGGTCCTTGGGGAGCAGCGGGTGTACCCCAGAGCCCAAAAGTGGACAACCAGGAGGAGCCAGGTGATGGAGGATCCCACCTCATCTCACCTGGCACGGGGCAGTGCCTGGGAGGTGCTCACAGAGACCCAGCACCAAGGCAAACCAAGGTTTTGCCCAAAGCTCCGTGCCAGCAGCTAAACACCAACCCTCCCTCTGCACCACAGCCTCAGGGACCTCCCCGTGCCCCTGCCCTCAAACACAACCCCACTTGCACTGAGGTTCAGGCAGGAGAGCAGAGCCAGGGGAAGGTGGGTGCTGGTGAACAGGGCTGGCTCCGGAGCTCACCTGGATCCCAAACACTTTGGGATGCCCTCCTGGGAGTTTAACATCATTTCAGCCTCATCAGAGACTCCCTTTCCCCAGAGCCTCTGCAGATCCCTCCTGGGAAATACCTGAGCATCCTCTGAGGTCACTACAAGAGCCTTGAGGCTACTCAGAGTCCCCCCTTGAGCTTCTGTTGCTGCCGTTTCAGAGAGCAGCCCTGGCACACCCACAGGCTCCCCCAGAGCAGGGACAACCCAACCCACCCCAACCCATCCCATCCCTCCTTCCCCGGGCACTGCTGAGCTGCAAACACACACACACTCTCCTGGACATCCCAGGAGAACACAGCAGCCAAACCCAAAGTGCAAAACTCTCCCTGAGCAGCACTCCCAAAAACACACCCACCCCTCTGTGGTTTGGGCACCCTGCTGCTGTTTGCAGGGTGGGAGTGGAGCCACACACCTCCCCCCAGGCTGGAGCTGGGCAGGAGGGGGTGAGGATGATGAGGATGAGCTCTGCTGCCCTGGAGCCAGCCCTGCCTGATTAACTCCCGAGAAGTATTTAAAGTTGGTGAGAGCTCCTTAGCAACAGCCACTGTCTCTGCAAGCTGCTGGTGGAGGAGAAAAGCTGGAGGAAAATACGTGCAGGGAAGATGGGGGTGGAGAAGAGGAGGCTGAGAAGGACACAGATACTGTGATAGCAGCAGGTCCCAGTCGCTGCCAGGGCTGGGATGGGGCCCAGGACAAAGCCACCAGGCTCAGGTGAGCCCCCTAAACGATGCTCAGGGGGTGCAGTGTTGTCACCTCACTCTCCCCATCGCTGCAGCAGCCAGCTGCCCCCCAATAAGCCATTCAGGGGGAACAGTTTATTTTTTCCATTAAAAAAATAGATAAACAACTTCACCATCTTCTAACAGATACTACAGGCATCAACACCACAACGTGCAGACTAAATACTGATTTGTGACAATATTCCTGTCCTGGGGCAGGAGGGGTGGAGGCAGCAGGCTGGGATGGGGAGGATGAAGGAGACAGACATTTCTTGTGGCCTCAGAGCCTTGCCAGGAGGCTCAGCAGGTCCAGGACTCATCCACACCTCTCCCCAGCCCCAAGCCAGGACCCACCAGTCCCCACAGCAGTGCTGCACACCAGGAGCAGCACCAGGACGTGCCTTCAACACTCAGGTGCCTGGCTTGGACCCAGGGCAGCCCACAGAGGAGTCAGGCAACCCCCACCTTCAATTTGGGACCCCAGGCATCACCTCAAAAATCCAGGAAGGCCAGAAACTCCACAAAGCACCCAAGATGCTGCAGGGACAGTTGTGGAGGTCACCCACTTGCTCTGCCAGCTCACACTGGTGATGACCCATCACCTGGAAGGTGGCTTCTGGGATCAGACACTGGCCACATCCAAGGGTGGCCTTGGGTGTTTCTGCTCTCTCCTAAAGTCCCCTGACCAACCCTGGCTGTTCCCAGCAAAAGCAGAGGTGGAGAAGCTAAAGCTGGGCAGAGGGAGGCAAGGCAGTGAGTCCTCAGGGAGGGTGCAGCACCCTGCTCAAGCTCCCCAGCACCCTGGGGCCAGTCCTGATGCCTCTGGGCAACCTCGCAGGGAACTGCCAGTGATGGAGAGGTCAGGGCTAGGTCTTGGGACTTTTCAGCCTTCCTGGAGGCATCACAAGCAATGAGGGAGGGATCAGCAGACAGGGGAAAGAGCTGGTTCCAGTCAGGATCAGGGATGGGGCCAGGAGGTGCACTGGAGGAAAAAGCAGGGAGAAAGCAGCAGGGACATGGGAACAGTTGGCCCTGGGGAGCCAGGACCACTGGCTGCAGGGAGTCCAGCTCCAGGATGGGAGAGGGTTGATTTGGGGGTAACCTCAACAGCAGGCTCTGCCCATCCAGGGAGAGCTACAGCCCCAGGACAGCGGGCTGCCCAGGACACGGTCAGGAGTGGAGGCATGGAGAGAGGGAGAGGAGGGATGGGATGTGGCCCACACCTCGGCCAAGCAGGCACAGCAGGGACTGAGCAGAAAATGGGGATGGAAACCACCACAGGGAGCAGAATTTGGCTGCAGCCAGTCCAGCAAGGAGCCCCCAGGGCTCTATTTCTGCATGTCACACTGCAAGAGGAGGACAATGGAGGGGTCGCTCTTTGCTGCCTCCTTGAACTCTTCCAGGGAGATCTGGTCATCCTTGTCCTTGTCCATCTTTGTGAAGATCTTGTCAACACGCTGCTGGGGTGTCAGCCCATCTTGGTTCATCCTCATCATGATCACAGTCCCCACCATCTTGTAAATGGCCTGGAGCAAGAAGAGAAGCAAAGGACCAGAGGAGGAATGTTGGATAGGCAGAAGGTCCCAGGACAGGACAGGGGACAGGGTTGCTGCTCTGCTCAGCCTCCATTAGCTGCTGGCACAAGCTGTGCTGCTGCACAGCTACAATCAGGTGCATACTGGGTACCTTTCAGACAAGGTTTGGGCAGGAAAATTCATTCTTTGAAGCCAAAATGGACCCAAGAGCTGTGAAAAGCCTGGAGGACACAAGCTACCCCCGCTGATTCTAAGCACCAGTACCTCAATGATCTCCAGCATCTCCAAGCGTGTGATCTTCCCATCCCCATCCAGGTCGTACATCTCAAAGGCCCAGTTGAGTTTCTGCTCAAAGGTGCCCCTGGAGGTGACAGACAGGGCACAGATGAACTCCCTGAAGTCAATGGTCCCATCCCCATTCTTGTCAAAGGTGCGGAAAGCGTGCTGGGCAAACTTGGAGGCGTCTCCATAGGGGAAGAACTGCGAGGAGGAGAGAAGAGAGAGATCAAAACAGGGAGGGGAAGCTCAGCACAGAGGCTGCACCCAAAGCATCACCCTTGTCCCAGCAGGAGCAGGGGGATCCAACCCCACAGGCAGCACTTGGGCCCTTGGCCAGAGCCCACCTTGATGTAGAGCTGCTGGAACTCCTCCAGGTTGAGGATGCCGGTGGGACAGTCCTTGAGGAAGCCCTTGTACCACTGCTTCAGCTCCTGCTCGCTGAACTCCGTGCTCCTCACCAGGTCATCCAGCATCTCCGGGGCCAGCTTGCTGCTGTGCTTGCCCATGGCTGCCCCTGGAAGGGAAAATACAGCTCCTACACACCGGGCACAGGGAGGGCTGGTGCTCCCAGGCTTTGCTCCATGCCCATGAGTGCCAACCCTGTGTGCCCCTTCTCCATGCAGCTGGTGGGTGTCCATGCACTCAGGTGCCAGGGCAGCGACCGTGGCACTGGGGACCTGCTCAGTGCCTCAGCTCAGCTGTGGCCTTTGCTGCTGGAGCTGCAGGAGCTGGTCCTGGGGCAGACAGCAACTCCACCTTCAACCCTCCCCATTTCTGAGGCTGGCTCCCTTTGGGCTGCAGAAAACCACTCAAAAAGCAACTGAAGACCCAGAACTCCTCCTCACATGGCCTTGACCAGGCTGTGGTGTGCAGCCACCCTCCGCAAGGACAGGGCAAAGGGGTAGCACAAATCTGCCATTCCAGCAGGGAAAAACCTCACTGGCACCACCCAGCCAGCCCGACCCGCTCCTGGCCATCCCGTGGTGAGGATGGGGTGCGTGGCCAGCACCCCGGAGCGCTGGCAAGCTGGCAGAGGCGTGGGCAGGACGCGGAGCGGCTCCGAAACGCGCCGTGCCCGCTCCCACGC